CAACTTACTTACCTACTCATTAAGCTGGGCCCTACTTGAGGATCTGCCAATTCTGCAGCTACTCAAAGAATTTCATAGCATTTTATGGAACCCGAAGGTTCATTACTTTTTTCACAAGAGCCCTCCACTGGTCCCTAACCTGTGCCAGATCGATGCAGTCCATACCACCCAATCCTATATCACTAAGATTCATTTTAATATTCTCCGCCTATCTATGTCTTCTTCTTCCTAGTGGTTTCTTTCCTTCTGGATTTCCCACCATTATACTATATCCATTCCTCTTCTCCACCACTCGTGCTACATGCCCTGCCCATCTCATTCTTCTTGACTTGATCATTCTAATTATACTTGGAGAAGAGTACAAGTTATGAAGCTCCTCATTATGCAGTTTTCTCCACCCTCCTGTCACTTCATCCCTCTGCGGTCCAAATATTCTCCTCAACACCCTGTTCTCAAACATCCTCAGGCTATGTTCTTTCCTTAATATCAGAAACCAAGTTTCACACCCATATAGAACCACAGGTAACATTATAGTTTTGTGTAATTTAATATTTATATTTTTGGACAGCAGACGAGAAGACAAAAGGTTCTGGACTGAATGGTAGCAAGCATTACCCGAGTTCATTCTCCTCATAATTTCCTCCTGAATCAGGTTTTGATTTGTTATCGTTGTTCTAAACATATACAGAAATTGGAACTTAAGCTACTGAACAGAGAGATTATTTCCTCTGTGTAAGGACTATTTTCCCTTATATAATTTTCTTTCCACACCGTTCTTGGACACACTGTATCTCTTACATCATATTGATCGTGAGCCATATACTCTTGTCATCGTTCATAAAACATTTCCGGGCTATCAGTCGTGTCAGTTGGTTAAAAGTTACCTGCCTTTTCCACATTTTCCAGTTTGTAACAGCAAGTAAGGAAGCAGAAAAACTTAAACTTCCTAGTGTTCGGGATCCTTGGAAAGAGTAAACTGTATTCGTCCATTCACTCACTCACTCACTCACCCATACAGCGAGAAATTTCTTTCTCTTTCTGACCCACGTAAATACCATGGATTCATCTCCCTCTTCCACGTTTTGCAGGTTAGAAAACCGAGATTAACGGCTGGGGGGATCCCTTGCGCTGACCACGCGACACCCTCTATCCGCTAAAGTTGGCACTAACTTCGCCGACAAATGGCGGTCGCTCGGTCGGTATAGTTCGGATGCGGACTACAGGCCACGGAGTTCGTTTTGTCCAGTGAATATAATACATTTTCTCATGACGAGTACTTCGGAAATATGAATTTGTAATACGAAGTAATCATAATCTTACGTGTATATATATATATTTGTGGATAATACATTTAAATTTGTATATATGTAACTACAGGTTTATACTCGACGCGTTGTTATAATCTAAAGCGTCTCAGCCATGTTCAGTGTTTACCCAGCTCAAACAATCATCTGGAGCCGTATATCTTAAGTACATAAATTTATTTCTGTTTTTCTCAAGTCTTCCTGGAGAAAGTCGAGATACGAATAATTTGCCAAAATAGTCCCGAATCTCTTCCGATTCATCGTTCATAATCATCCTGTAATTTATTCGAAGTTTCATAACCGCCCCAGGTGGTCCCATAGTGAAATCACGAAGCAACTAACTACCCTCCATGGTGCAGGGTCTTCTCTCCAGTGTCAATACGTACTCAAATGGTCAGGATATTGGACTTGGTTTATAGAATCTAAATATTCTTCACCGTGTTTACAAGACGCAACCATTGGACCATATCCTGAGGCAGCTGAATCCAATCCTTTCTTTAAGATATATTTCAGCGTTATCTTTCTTGAGGTTTTCCGAATACAAATTTGTATGCATCTCATTCCCCCATCCGTGCTACATGCCTGCCCCATCTTAACCTTCTTAATCCAATCACTCTAACAATATCAGCTGAAAAGCACAAATTAAAACGGTCCTTATTATGTAATTTTTTCTATCATTCTCGTAGTTTATCTCTCGTTGGTTCAGTTATTCTCCTCTGCATTTTGTTATCAAGCAGTTGCCCGCAGTCTATAATCCTCATGCAGAATGATACACCAAGGTCATCACATATACAAGACAGATTTGTGTGTTCGCAGTGTCCACTTAACAGGTGCGTTCGGCTGAAACAGTCGTGAGTGAAAGAGGCTGATTTAAGATGTGATGAAGTGTTCTCTTATAAGAAAAAAAACTGGCCCTTCAGTGTTCTCTGTTACTATATAAACTAAATGATAATTAAATTTATGTAGATTGTTTCATATGTGCTTACATTCCCATTGTAGTAGAGCATTGTATTAAAAGAACAAAATAAAAACAATTTTAACGCAGTGTAAGCACAATGAAGACCCCTCTAATTCTCCTCCTCATTATTATTATTATTCTGTGTGTCTATGTATATGTATTTTCCTTTCTCGCCACAAATGGAATGACTATTGGAAATGTACTTATTTTAGTTTCTCGCCTGTTAAATTTAACTTCAAATTTTCTTGAAAT